GTTCTACATACTTTCTAGGTTCTACATTCTCTACAGGTTGTACATGCCCTCTACGCTCTACATGTTTTCAAGGTTCTACATAAGCTTTCTAGGTTCTACATGCTTTCTAGGTTCTACATGTTATCTAGGTTCAACATGTTATCTATCTATCTATCATACTTTCTAGTTTCTACATTCTCTACAGGTTTTACATGCCCTCTACGCTCTACATGTTTTCAAGGTTCTACATAAGCTTTCTAGGTTCTACATGCTTTCTAGGTTCTACATGTTATCTAGGTTCCACATATCCTCTAGGTTCTACATGTTATCTAGGCTCTACATGCTTTCTAGGTTCTACATTCTCTAGAGGTTTTACATGCCCTCTACGCTCTACATGTTTTCAAGTTCTACATGCTCTCAAGGGTCTACATGCTTTCTAGGTTCTGCATGCTCCCAAGGCTCTACATGCTTTCTAGGTTCTACATGCGTTCTAGGTTCTACATGCTTTTTAGGTTTTACATGCTCTCTAGGTTCTACATGCTCTTAGGGTTCTACATGCTCTCAAGATCTCAAGATCCTACATCCTTTCTAGGTTCTACATATTTTCTAGGTTCTAAATGTTTTCTAGGGTCTACATACTTTCTGGGTTTTACGTGTTTTCAGGTCCTACATACTTTCAAGGTTCTACATGTTATCTAGGTTCTACATGCTTTCTAGCTTCTACATGATCATTACGTTCTACATGTTTTCTAAGATCAACATGTTCTCTAGGTTCTACATACTGTCTAGGTTCTACACGCCCTCTAGGTTCTACATGCTCTCAAGGCTCTACATGCTTTCTAGATTCTACATACTTTCAAGGTTCTACATGCTTTCTTGGTTCTACGTGCTTTGTAGGCTCTATATGTTTTCAAGGTTTTACATACTTTCTAGGTTCTACATTGATTTGGATTTTTTTGTTTAACCCTGCTCTCTTTAATATTCAAGCTATATTGTGCCTGTCTGTAAATAATTAAATCCGGGCCATACAATCCAGTGATTGATATTGTGAGCATGGAACCAGTCCTCCAAGGTACGATGACACGCAATCAAGCAAGTCTCCGAGCCTGATTATACCGATCTATTAGGTCGCTCCTTACGCTCTGAATATGTTGGTAGAGATCCGGCAATTATTTAGATTGATGTTCACTTTGTCTCATCGCGATGTGATAGTGGGCCGCCTCTGTTGTCTTGAGGTAGAACGTCCGGCCGGAGAGCGGAAGGTCCGGGGTTCGATCCCCTCCGCGTCATACCAAAAGACGTTAAAATATGGTACTTGTTGTCACCCGGTCTGGCATTAGGGGGCTAAAACAAGAACTGGTCGGCGGGGAGTCTGTATACTGTGTCTGAGTGGGGTATTAATGGTAAACTGCGGCATGGTATCTCAGTGAGCTAGCACTATAAATCGGCATCAGTCAGGACTAGTACAAGCAGCCACAAACACAAACATGCATGCACGTCGCTATATAAGTGCAATAATCTTGGACGCGACGTAAAAAAAACCAATTCATCTTACCCCATTTCATAGTGATTCATAAACACCTAGTTACATCACTATTTGATAGTATTTCAGTTTCAGAGAGTTCTTAAGATTATGAAAATGGTTTTGACGCTTTTATTAAATATCAATTATTAAAATGACCAATAACAAGTTTGACCAGCTAAAGGTGTTTCAAATTTCAAATTGCTTGCATGTCCTTGAACGTGATAACATGGTATGATTTTGCATGCTTTCTTTGTTCTACATGTTCTCTAGGTTCTACATGCTATCTAAGTTTTACATGTCCTCAAGGTTCTACATGCTCTTCAGTTTCTACATGCTCTCTGGGGCGGTCGGAGAGCCTAGTAGTTAAAGCGTTCGATCGTCACGCCGAAGACCCGGGTTCGATTCCCGACATGGGTACAATGTGTGAAACCCATTTCTGGCGTCCCCCGCCGTGATATTGCTGGAATATTGCTAAAAGCGGCGTAAAACCAAAATCACTCACTCACTCACTCACTACATGCTCTCTAGATTCTACATGCTCCCTAGGTACTACATGCTCTCTGAGTTCTACAAGCTTTTTAGGTTCTACAAGCTCTCTGTTTTCCACATGCTTTCTAGATTCAACATGCCCTCGGGGTTCTACATGCTCTCCAGCTTTCTAGGTTTTCCATACTCTCTAGGTTCTTCAATGTCATCCTCTCTAGGTTCAACACCTTTTCTAGGTTCTACATGCTCTCTAGGTTCTACACCTTTTCTAGGTTCAACATTGACTTTTTGTTCTACATGCTTTCTTGGCTCTACATGCTCTAGAGATTTAACATGCCCTCTACGCTCTACATGCTTTCTAGGTTCTACATGTTATCTAGGTTCTACATGTTATCAAGGTTCTACATGCTTTCTATGTTCTACATGTTATCTAGGTTCTACATGTTATCTAGGTTCTACATGTTATCAAGGTTCTACATGCTTTCTACTCTCTACATGTGATCTAGGTTCTACATGCTTTCTAGGTTCTACGTGTTATCTAGGTTCTACATGCTTTCTAGGTTCTACATGTTATCTAGGCTCTACATGCTTTCTAGGTTCTACATGCTATCTAGGTTCTACATGCTTTCTAGGTTCTACATGTTCATTACGTTCTACACGCTTTCTAGGATCAACATGTTCTCTAGGTTCTACATACTGTCTAGGTTCTACACGCCCACTAGGTTCTACATGCTGTCAAGACTCTACATGCTTTCTTTATTCTACATACTTTCGAGGTGCTACATGCTCTCTAGGTTTTACATGCTCTCTAGGTTCTACATGCTTTTTAGGTTCTACATGCTCTAAAGGCTCTACATGCTTTCTAGATTATACATACGTTCTAGGTTCTACATGCTCTCAAGGCTCTACATGCTTTCTAGATTCTACATACTTTCGAGGTTCTACATGCTCTCAAGGTTTAACATGCTCTCTAGGTTCTACATGCTATTTAGGTTCTACATGCTCTCAAGATCTCAAGATTCTACATCCTTTCTAGGTTCTACAAGGATTCAAGATTCTACATACTTTCTAGGTTCTACATGTTTTCTAGGCTCTATATGTTTTCAAGGTTTTACATACTTTCTATGTTCAACATGCGCTCAAGGTTCTACACATGCTTTCTAGGTTCTACATGCGTCCTAGACTTTACGTTTTCATAACGTTCTACATGCTTTCTAGGTACAACATGTATTCTAGGTTTTTTATGCTCTCAAGGTTCTACATGCTCTCAAGGTTCTACAGGCTCTCTATTTTCCAAATGCTTTCTAGGTTCTACATGCTTTCTAGGTTCAATATGCTTTCTAGGTTCTACTTGTTAACTACGTTCTACGTGTTTTCTAGGTTCTACATGCTCTCTGTTTTCCACATGCTTTCTAGGTTCTACATGCTTCCAGGTCCAACATGCTTTCTAGATTCTACATGCTCTTTCGCTTGTACATGCTTTCTAGGTTCTACATGTTCTGGAGGTTCTACATGCTTTCTAGGTTATCCATACTCTCTAGGTTCTTCATTGCCATGCTCTCTAGGTGCTACATGTTTTCTAGGTTCTACATGTTCTCTACATTCTACATGCTTTCTAGGCTCTACATGCTCTCTTGGTTCTATATGTTCTCTACATTCTACATGCTTTCTGTGTTCTTCTTGCTCTCTAGGTTCTTCATGTTCTCTGGGTTCTTCTAGGCTCTACATGTTCTCTACATACTAATGCTTTCTAGGTTCTATATGTTCTCTACATTCTAAATGTTCTCTAGGTTCTGCTTGCTTTCAAGGTTCTTCACGTTCTCTAGGTTCTTCATGCTCTCTTGTTTTTGCATGCTTTCTAGCTTCTAAATGCTTTTACGTTCTACATGATCTCTAGGTTCTACACGTTCTCTAGGTTCCCCATGTTTTCCAGGTTCTACATGCTTTCTAGGTTCTCCGTGCTCTCTAGGTTCTCCATGCTCTCTAGGTTCTCCATGCTCTCTAGGTTTTCCATGCTCTCTAGGTTCTGACATGTTCTCTAGTTCTACATGCTTTGTAGGTTCTACATGTTCTCTAGGTCCCACGTGCTCTCATGCTTCTACATGCCCTCACGTTTGTACATGCTTTCTAGGTTCTACATGCTCTCTATTTTCGACATGCATCCTAGGTTCAACATGCTTTCAAGGTCACATGCTCTCTCGGTTCTACATGCTTTTTAGGTTGTACATGTTGTCTAGATTCTACATGTTCTCTAGGTTCAACATGTTCTCCAGGTTCTGCGTACTCTCTAGGTTCTACATGCTTCCTAGGTTTTACATTCTCTCCAGGTTTTACATGTTTTCTAGGTTCTACATGCCTTCTACGTTCTAGATGTTCTCTGCATTCTACATGTTTTTCCAGGTTATACATGCCCTCAAGGTTCCACATGCTCTCTGGATTCTACATGCTTTCTAGGTTCTACATGTTCTCTACGTTCTACATGCTTACTAAGTTCTACATGCTCTCTACGTTCTACATGCTTTCTAGGTTCTACATGCTTTCTGGGTTCGGGTAGCCTAGTGTTTAAAGCGTTCGCTCGTACGCCGAAGACCCGGGTTCGATTCCCGACATGGGTACAACGTGTGAAGCCCATTTCGGGTGTCCCCCGCCGTGATATTGCTGGAATATTGCTAAAAGCGACATAAAACCATACTCACTCTTTCACTCACTCTAGGTTCTACATGCTCGCCAGGTTCTACATGCTCTTTACGTTCTACATGCTCTCTACGTTCTACATGCTTTCTTTGTCCTACATGCTCTCTACGTTCTACATGCTTTCTTTGTCCTACATGCTCTCTACGTTCTACATGCTTTCTTTGTCCTACATGCTCTCTTCGTTTTATATCCTTTCTGCGTTCTACATGCTCTCTAGGTTCCATATGCTCTCTACGCTCGCTCCTCGACATACACACCCACCAACAATCTCACACATTCTACGACGACGTTAATATGCCCCACATTGATCTTCTAGACACCCAGAAAATAGCTGTCAATGCGACTGTCGCGGATACATCAGTGGGAACCATCTCGTTGTGTGGTAATACTGAATCCGCTACGCTGGTAAAGGTCAGCATCCGATGCAGTGGAAACGGGATCATCCCCGTGGGTAACATCATCATCATCTCTGTTACTTATCCGACAGTGCCAACGGCAACTGTATGTGACATAATGGTGTATGGCCGACAGATCCTCCCATCAGCAGGTAAATCATTATATTTTTTATATTTTTAGATTTCAAATTAGTTCTTAAACTTTTAAAGACATTCTCTCCGCTCATAGGTAGTTACTAATGACTTTTGGTGCCTAATTAAACCAAGGCCACGATTTTGCCGCGCACTAGTACTTCTTTGGTGGTCGTGAGGACAAATGTTTCCATTGTTCTGAAGTTTTGACTCTGGTGATGGACACAGATTTCTTCCTGGATGTATCAAGATTTATCAAAACACAGCGTGAGAGAGGATGAAGTATATCTCTCTAAGACTGACGTTTGAATGTCTTAAGTTGTATAGACAGAGCACAGTGTGGCAGAGAGAGGATGAAGGATATCTCTCTAAGACTGACGTTTGAATGTCTTAACTTGTATAGGCACAGTACGGTGTGGCAGAGAGAGGATGAAGGATATCTGTGTGAGACTGACGTTTGAATGTCTTAACTTGTATAGACACAGCGTGGTATGGCAGTGGGAAGATGAAGGATATCTCTCTAAGACTGACGTTTGAATGTCTTATCTTGTATAGACTGAGCACGGTGTGGCAGATAGAGGATGAAGGATATCTCTCTAAGACTGACGTTTGAATGTCTTAACTTGTATAGACACAGCACGGCGTGGCAGAGAGAGGATGAAGTATATCTCTCTAAGACTGACGTTTGAATGTCTTAACTAGTATAGGCACAGCACGGTGTGGCAGAGAGAGGATGAAGGATATCTCCCTGAGGCTTACGTTTGAATGTCTTAAGTTGTATAGACAGAGCACAGTGTGGCAGAGAGAGGATGAAGGATATCTCTCTAAGACTTACGTTTGAATGTCTTAACTAGTATGGACAGAGCACAGTGTGGCAGAGAGAGGATGAAGTATATCTCTCTAAGACCTACGTTTGAATGTCTTATCTTGTATAGACTGAGCACGGTGTGGCACAGAGAGGATGAAGGATATGTCTCTAAGACTGACGTTTGAATGTCTGAACTTGTATAGGCACAGCACGGTGTGGCAGATAGAGGATGAAGTATATCTCTCTAAGACTGACGTTTGAATGTCTTAACTTGTATAGACACAGCACGGTGTGGCAGATAGAGGATGAAGTATATCTCTCTAAGACCCACGTTTAAATGTTTTAACTTGTATAGACATATCGTGGTGTGGCAGAGAGAGGATGAAGGATATCTCTTTGAGACTGACGTTTGAATATCATATCTTGTATTGACACAGCACAGTGTGAAAATCCGCCAACCCTTTACGGACTTCGCTTGGAATCCCTGACTTTCTATTCGGACTCAAGTAGGGCTGTATATACCTGTGAAGAGGGATTCTATCACCAGTCTGGGGCGGGTGACGCCGACTGCAGCAGTAATGGCACGTGGTCTCTCCCCTCTATCAAATGTTCCAGTAAGTCATTGTGTAAATGTTAGCATGTAATTATATAATTGTGACATATACGTGAGTTAAAGACAATATTTTTTGCAGTCGGAATTCTGTAGCAATGTGATGCATGTATTGTAATATAGTTAGTGAAGTAATGTACATTTAGAGTGTTACTCGAGTGCCATCAAGTACTGTGTTTCCACGTCGAAGGAAACGTGAATTTCGTTTAATCAATGACGCACACACGGGCGCAATATTCATCGTGGCGCATAATCTACTCGTCATGAGCACTTATGGTTTTTGCCAGGAAACGAAGTGTGTCGACGTCGTCATGAACATATGATGCCAGCTTAACTGGCTTTGTTTGATGTGTTTAAATCAAACTCGTTTTTATGCTTTTACTGTTGAATATTCATTGAATGACGTTACCATGACCTTGTATTTCTAGACGAGGACAACATTATCAGCAACGGCACTAATCCGTATGTGGCGAAGAACTCGTCTACCTGCCCACAAGAATCAGTAATCTTTGAGTTTGTCAATACAACGAGCTACGAAGTGGCCAGCGTAACGATCTTCTTCAACGGTAAGTATGATGTGTGTTGAACTATCAGCGTTACGTTGTTCTTACGTGGTAGGTGTGATGTGTGTTGGACTGTCAGCGTAACGATGTTCTTCAGTGGTAAGTGTGATTAGTGTTGGACTGTCAGCGTGACGATGTTCTTCAGTGGTAAGTGTGGTGTGTGTTGGAATGTCAGCGTTACGTTGTTCTTCAGTGGTAAGTGTGATAAGTGTTGGACTGTTAGCGTTACGTTGTTCTTCATTTGTAGGTGTGATGTGTGTTGGACTGTCAGCATTACGATGTTCTTCAGTGGTAAGTGTGATAAGTGTTGGACTGTCAGCGTTACGATGTTCTTCAGTGGTAAGTGGGATTAGTGTTGGACTGTCAGCGTTACGATGTTCTTCAGTGGTAAGTGTGATTAGTGTTGGACTGTCAGCGTTACGATGTTCTTCAGTGGTAAGTGTGATTAGTGTTGGACTGTCAGCGTTTCGAGTTTCTTCAGAGGTAAGTGTGATCAGTGTTGGACTGTCAGCGTTACGATGTTCTTCAGTGGTAAGTGTGATTAGTGTTGGGCTGTCAGCGTTACGATGTTCTTCAGTGGTAAGTGTGATGTGTGTTCGACCGTCAGTGTTACGATGTTCTTCAGTGGTAGGTGTGATGTGTGCTGGACTGTCAGCGTTACGATGTTCTTCAGTGGTAAGTGTGATTAGTGTTGGACTGTCAGTGTTACGATGTTCTTCAGTGGTAGGTGTGATTAGTGTTAGACTGTCAGTGTTACGATGTTCTTCAGTGGTAAGTGTGATGTCTGTTGGACTGTCAGTGTTACGATGTTCTTCAGTGGTAAGTGTGATCAGTGTTGGACTGTCAGCGTTACGATGTTCTTCAGTGGTAAGTGTGATCAGTGTTGGACTGTCAGCGTTACGATGTTCTTCAGTGGTAGGTGTGATGTGTGTTGGACTGTCAGCGTTACGATGTTCTTCAGTGGTAGGTGTGATTAGTGTTGGACTGTCAGCGTTGAGATGTTCTTCAGTGGTAGGTGTGGTCAGTGTTGGACTGTCAGCGTTACGATGTTCTTCAGTGGTAGGTGTGGTCAGTATTTGACTGTCAGCGTTACGATGTTCTTCAGTGGTAAGTGTGATTAGTGTTGGACTGTCAGCGTTACGATGTTCTTCAGTGGTAGGTGTGATTAGTGTTGGACTGTCAGCGTTACGATGTTCTTCAGTGGTAGGTGTGATTAGTGTTGGACTGTCAGCGTTACGATGTTCTTCAGTGGTTAGTTAGATTAGTGTTGGACTGTCAGAGTTACGATGTTCTTCAGTGGTAGGTGTGATCAGTGTTAGACTGTCAGCGTTACGATGTTCTTCAGTGGTAAGTGTGATGTATGTTGGACTGTCAGCGTTACGATGTTCTTCAGTGGTAAGTGTGATTAGTGTTGGACTGTCAGCGTTACGTTGTTCTTCAGTGGTAAGTGTGATCAGTTTTGGACTGTCAGCGTTACGATGTTCTTCAGTGGTAAGTGTGATTAGTGTTGGACTGTCAGCGTTACGTTGTTATTCAGTGGTAGGTGTGATTAGTGTTGGACTGTCAGCGTTACGATGTTCTTCAGTGGTAGGTGTGATCAGTGTTGGACTGTCAGCGTTACGATGTTCTTCAGTGGTAGGTGTGATCAGTGTTGGACTGTCAGCGTTACGATGTTCTTCAGTGGTAGGTGTGATTAGTGTTGGACTGTCAGAGTTACGATGTTCTTCAGTGGTAGGTGTGATCAGTGTTGGACTGTCAGCGTTACGATGTTCTTCAGTGGTAGGTGTGATTAGTGTTGGACTGTCAGCGTTACGATGTTCTTCAGTGGTAAGTGTGATCAGTGTTGGACTGTCAGCGTTACGATGTTCTTCAGTGGTAAGTGTGATCAGTGTTGGACTGTCAGCGTTACGATGTTCTTCAGTGGTAAGTGTGATTAGTGTTGGACTGTCAGCGTTACGATGTTCTTCAGTGGTAGGTGTGATTAGTGTTGGACTGTCAGCGTTACGATGTTCTTCAGTGGTAAGTGTGATGTATGTTGGAATGTCAGCGTTACGATGTTCTTCAGTGTTAGGTGTGATGTGTGTTGGACTGTCAGCGTTACGATGTTCTTCAGTGTTAGGTGTGATGTGTGTTGGGCTGTCGGCGTTACGATGTTCTTCAGTGGTAAGTGTGATTAGTGTTGGACTGTCAGCGTTACGATGTTCTTCAGTGGTAAGTGTGATGTGTGTCGGACTGCCAGCGTGACGTTGTTCTTCAGTGGTAAGTGTGATGTATGTTGGAATGTCAGCGTTACGATGTTATACAGTGGTAGGCGTGATCAGTGTTAGACTGTCAGCGTTACGATGTTCTTCAGTGGTAAGTATAAAAGTTTACTTTGGAATTTTTCTACGACTCCCTGACTGTCCAATGTATAAATTATATATCGACTCAAACCTAAATAAATGCCTTGGGACATTTCGCCTCCATTGACTGAATCCGGTTCGAATCACATGACGTTAAAGGTACTCTCCTCTGTCATGCTTGGAAGAAACTGGGCGATCTGAGCAATTCTCAACTCCCCTTGGCTTTAGTATTTTCCTCTTCTCGTATACACAGGAACACATAGTTTCTAGCAAAGGTAAATATATAGCAGTCTTCATGTTTTTTACGGGATTGCTTCAGAATATCAAAAAAAAACGTAACAGTGTTGAATGTACGTCTGTGGGGAAGTATCCCCCAGCACGTAGCAGTGTTAAATGTACGGTTGTGATGAAGTATCCCCCAGCACGTAGCAGTGTTGAGAATGTACGGCTGTGATGAAGTACGCCCCAAAACGTAGCTGTGTTGAATGTACGGCTGTGATGAAGTATCTTCCAGAACGTAGCAGTGTTGAATGTACGGCTGTGATGAAGTATCCCCAAGCACGTAGCAGTGTTGAATGTGAGGCTGTGATGAAGTATCCCACAGAACGTAGCAATGTTGAATGTACGGCTGTGATGAAGTATCCCACAGAACGTAGCAGTGTTGAATGTACGGCTGTGATAAAGTATCCCACAGAACGTAGCAGTGTTGAATGTACGACTGTGATGAAGTACCCCACAGAATGTAGAAGTGTTGAATGTACGGCTGTGATGAAGAATCACACAGAACGTAGCAGTGTTGAATGTACGGCTGTGATGAAGTATCCCACAGAACGTAGCAGTGTTGAATGTACGGCTGTGATGAAGTATCCCACAGAACGTAGCAGTGTTGAATGTACGGCTGTGATAAAGTATCCCACAGAACGTAGCAGTGTTGAATGTACGACTGTGATGAAGTACCCCACAGAATGTAGAAGTGTTGAATGAACGGCTGTGATGAAGAATCACACAGAACGTAGCAGTGTTGAATGTACGGCTGTGATGAGGTATACCACAGAACGTAGCAGTGTTGAATGTACGGTTGTGATGAAGTACCCACAGAACGTAGCGGTGTTGAATGTACGGCTGTGATGAAGTACCCCCAGAATGTAGAAGTGTTGAATGTACGGCTGTGATGAAGTATCCCACAGAACGTAGCAGTGTTGAATGTACGACTGTGATGAAGTATCCCACAGAACGTAGCAGTGTTGAATGTACGACTGTGATGAAGTACCCCCAGAATGTAGCGGTGTTGAATGTACGGCTGTGATGAAGTATCCCACAGAACGTAGCAGTGTTGAATGTACGGCTGTGATGAAGTTTCCCACAGAACGTAGCAGTGTTGAATGTACGGCTGTGATGAAGTACCCCACAGAATGAAGCAGTGTTGAATGTACGACTGTGATGAAGTACCCCACAGAATGTAGCAGTGTCGAATGTACGGCTGTGATGAGGAACCCACAGAACGTAGCGGTGTTGAATGTACGGCTGTGGTGAAGAACCCACAGAACGTAGCAGTGTTGAATGTACGGCTCTGATGAAGAACCCACAGAACGTAGCAGTGTTGAATGTACGGCTGTGGTGAAGAATCCACAGAATGTAGCAGTGTTGAATGTACGGCTGTGATGAAGAACCCACAGAACGTAGCGGTGTTGAATGTACGGCTGTGATGAAGTATCCCACAGAACGTAGCGGTGTTGAATGTACGGCTGTGATGAGGAACCCACAGAACGTAGCGGTGTTGAATGTACGGCTGTGGTGAAGAACCCACAGAACGTAGCAGCGTTGAATGTACGGCTGTGATGAAGAACCCACAGAACGTAGCAGTGTTGAATGTACGACTGTGATGAAGAACCCACAGAACGTAGCGGTGTTGAATGTACGGCTGTGATGAAGAACCCACAGAACGTAGCGGTGTTGAATGTACGGCTGTGATGAAGAACCCACAGAACGTAGCTGTGTTGAATGTACGGCTGTGATGAAGAACCCACAGAACGTAGCAGTGTTGAATGTACGGCTGTGATGAAGAACCCACAGAACGTAGCAGTGTTGAATGTACGGCTGTGATGAAGAACCCACAGAACGTAGCGGTGTTGAATGTACGGCTGTGATGAAGAACCCACAGAACGTAGCAGTGTTGAATGTACGGCTGTGATGAAGAACCCACAGAACGTAGCGGTGTTGAATGTACGGCTGTGATGAAGAACCCACAGAACGTAGCAGTGTTGAATGTACGGCTGTGATGAAGAACCCACAGAACGTAGCAGTGTTGAACGTACGGCTGTGATGAAGAACCCACAGAAGAGTCATCGTGATTTGTTGTTGTTTTCAAACTCATGAGGACATCTGTACTAAGTGAGTTGTTTTGTTTTCGAAAAGAAGTCCAGATGACGAATACAATGTAGGTATCATAATTTTCTGGATATAAAGGATCGTGAATAATGGTCTCCCGGCTGATGAATAGGTCAAGTGTATGTATCATAATAGGCTGGAGATATAATAAGGTTAATGAACTGTTCAAGCATCTATTGCTAAGCATCACTTATTCGTGCAACAGTCTATAAAACGTAATCTGTGGCTGAGTTATTTTGTGTGAAAAAACATTGATTGGTTCAATAAGGACTGCATGGGGTAAAAAATGAATTTGCAGCCTCGTGACACCACGTGTTCAAAATTTAAATTTGTGCCGAAAAAACAATATTTATTGGAAATCAGTAGCAAAAAAAAACACACTTTTGTATATTAAATTATAAAAAACTAAAACCATGTTGAAATATTCTTTGAGTGCTGGCTAGGCGCCAATACAGTTCATATGTTGGATATTATATCGCTATCTTAGGATATTTTCAATTGGAAATCAAACAACATAAAATCAACTGAGAGGTAAAATTTCTTTTGCTACTCAGTATTGATACACAGCGCCCATCATAAACCGCATCAGGTCAGGAGGTCTGGCTTAACTGTATCCAAAGGCTGCATTACTCACCAGGCCCTATTACCTTGTTATCTATCACGTTGTTATCCTTTACCGTGTTATCCATCACGTTGTCATCCTTTGCCTTGTTATCAAGACATTGTTTTCATTTACCTTGTTATCAATCACGTTGTTATCCTTTACCTTATTCTCATTTCATTGTTTTCCTTTACCTTATTATCCATGACACTGTTTTCCTTTACCTTGTTATCCATCACGTTGTTATCCTTTACCTTGTTATCCATGACATTGTTATCTTTTACCTTGTTATCCATCACGTTGTTATCCTTTCCCGTGTTATCCATGACATTGTTATCCTTTACCTTGTTATCCATCACGTTGTTATCCTTTCCCGTCTTATCCATCACATTGTTATCCTTTACCTTGTTATCAATCACGTTGTTATCCTTTACCTTATTATCCACGACGTTGTTTTCCTTTGCCTTGTTATCCATCACGTTGTTATCCTTTACCTTATTCTCATTACATTGTTTTCATTTACCTTATTATCCATGACACTGTTTTCCTTTACCTTGTTATCCATCACGTTGTTATCCTTTACCTTGTCATCCATGACGTCGTTATCCTTTACCTTGTTATCCATCACGTTGTTATCCTTTACCTTGTTATCCATGACATTGTTATCCTTTACCTTGTTATCCATCACGTTGTTATCCTTTACCGTGTTATCCATCACGTTGTTATCCTTTACCTTGTTATCAATCACGTTGTTATCCTTTACCTTATTATCCACGACGTTGTTTTCCTTTGCCTTGTTATCCATCACGTTGTCATCCTTTACCTTGTTATCCATCACGTTGTTATCCTTAACCTTGTTATCCATCAAGTTGTTATCCTTTACCTTGTTATCAATCACGTTGTCATCCTTTACCTTGTTATCAATCACGTTGTTATCCTTTACCTTATTATCCACGACGTTGTTTTCCTTTGCCTTGTTATCCATCACGTTGTCATCCTTTACCTTGTTATCCATCACGTTGTTATCCTTAACCTTGTTATCCATGACGTTGTTATCCTTTACCTTATTATCCACGACGTTGTTTTCCTTTGCCTTGTTATCCATCACGTTGTTATCCTTTACCTTGTTATCCATCACGTTGTTACCCTTAACCTTGTTATCCATGACGTCGTTATCCTTTACCTTGTTATCCATCACGTTGTTATCCTTTACCTTGTTATCCATCACGTTGTTATCCTTTACCTTGTTATCCATGACGTTGTTATTCTTTACCTTGTTTTCCATCACGTTGTTATCCTTTACCTTGTTATCCATCACGTTGTTATCCTTAACCTTGTTATCCATGACGTCGTTATCCTGTACCTTGTTATCCATCACGTTGTTATCCTTTACCTTGTTATCCATCACGTTGCTATCCTTTACCTTGTTATCCATGACATTGTTTTCCTTTACCTTGTTATCCGTGACATTGTTTTCCTTTACCTTCTTATCTATCACGTTGTTAACCTGGTGCCATCACTATTTGATAACGATCCATAAACACGTGCTCATGATATAGTCGGAATCGTACTGTCGACCCTGCTATTGGCAAATATTTCTTATGAATCAGGTGTTTTTTCACTTTTATTTGCCGAATCATCTATGTTTCAACCACAGATAAGAATCTCTTATGTTCATGAATCGGCTCCAATAATTAGAAAAAAAAGGCTCCCGAAATTTGTTTGACTAAACTTTGAGCGTATCTCTTTTTCAAGTTGTCCATGTTTGGACAAGGAAAACCGCTTGTTCAATACTTCAATAACACGCACACGTCCGGTAACTTTCATAATCAGTTCAAAACAGTTGTTTCATAGCTACTGGAATTTTGACAATTCCGTAGGGTCATAAATGGACATAAGGGGACATAGAGGTCCGCCAAGGGATCGTATGATACGCAGCCCTCTGTATATCAGTCTAGCCCGTCACAAGCTCGTAAACCACAAGTAAGATTACCTGTATTTTGACAGAATCCGTGACGTCAGATTTCACAGTCGAGGCCGAAGTGGTTGACATCAAGCAGACCCCGACATCGAGCAGTGCGTGTGCATCCGATACATTGAGAACGTCACCCTCTACCACCTCACTCCCCAAACCTATCACTCTCTACTGTGAAACATTTCCCGTTGGTCAGTTCCTAAGTCTCAAGTTCAACAGCTCCATACCTCAGGCCCTGGTGGAGGTGCGCGCCACTGGACGACAATACACGGACGGTAGGTGCAAACTACTGATGCACCACTTATCGAGTGAGTGAGTGAGTGAGTGAGGGAGGGATGGATGGAGGGAGGGAGTGAGGGATGAGTTGGGTGGGTGTTTGGGTGAGTGAGTGAGTGAGTGAGTGGGTGAGCGAGCGAGGGAGGGAGTGAGGGAGTGAGTTGGGTGGGTGTTTGGGTGAGTGAGTGAGTAAGTGAGTGAGTGAGGGAGGGAGGGAGGGAGTTGGGTGGGTGGGTGGTTGGGTGGTTGGTTGGGTAGTTGGGTGAGTGGTAGATATAGTAAAATGAAACAATCGGATGGT